GAATTTGGGATTAACAGATACACATTACTATGTACAAAGTGGACGAACAACAAGGACCTGCTGAATAGCACAGAGAGCTATGTTCAATGTCTTGCAATAACCTATAATGGAAAAGAATCTAAAATTTATATATAGAGAGACAGCTGAATCACTTTGCTATATGCCTTAAACATTGTAAATCAGCTATACGTCAATTAAAATAAATATAAAAAGATATATACATATAAATAAAAATCTAATAAGCATTATTTCTTCTGAGGGTCAGTGAAAACCATAGAGATGTTCCTTCTGTCATAAAAAGCCAGCAGAGTCATGTTGAAGCATTTAAGAGGCGGCCCTTCACAACACTCTTTTGTGGGGGAGCTGATTCTCCCTAGAGCGAGTCCTTCTAGGTCAGTGTGATATCATCTTCATCTTTGTGTCCTTGTGGCTCAAAATATGAGGTTCACAGTGTCCCTGGGTTTATATTACTAAGATAACCCAAATGCTAAGTGGACTCTTCAGTTCTACCAAAATTTAATTAAAAAAAAAAAATCAGACTGCTTCTAAAGCAACTGAATTCAGTGGGAGGAAAAATGCATTTCTCTTTGAAATCTGAAGTTATATAAGTCAAACTTTAAAGAACATGAGCACATTCTTTCATGCTGCTTTTTTTTTTTTTTTTTTGGTGGGTGTGGAGCTCAAGAGCTTAAACCTTTGCTGCTCTGACCTCATGTTTCACTGAAACTGTGTAGCCTGGGAAATCAAACTTCACACTGGACCAACATCTGCCATGCGTTGGTTATTGACTCACCAGAGAGCAGCCTGGTCAATAATTACCTGAAAGAAAATGCTAGTTTGATCTAAAAATGAAGCTCGTGTTTTCATGATCAAAGCAGCTTCTCAGGGAGAAGCGTACCGCACATTGATTTTACTCCCAAATGGAGATGCAGAAGGCTCCCAAAACCCTCCTCACTTGACTTTCACGTGAGGCTGCTTCTTTTATATTTATAAGTCTCTGTCATGTAGTCACGTCTGACTCTGCGACCATATGGGCTGTAGCCCACCAGGCTCCTCTGTCCATGGGATTCTTCAGGCAAGAATACTGAAGTAAGTTGCCATGCCCTCCTCTAGGGGATCTTCCCAACCCAGGGATTGGACCTAGGTCTCCCACATTGTAGGCAGATTATTTACTGTCTTTAGCCACCAGGGAAGCCCTTATAAGTCTCTACCAGGCAATAAAGAGGAGTGTTATGGAGCATCTTTTGTGTCTTCAAGGTCTTGTCTCTCCAGTAGTACTCAAAGTTCCTTGCGCAGAGAGTATCATATTTTGTTAGTAAAGTTGGGTCAGAGTCGATACTGGACACATTGTCCTTGTTAACTGCAACCTATTACCCAATACTTTCTGGGTGAAATGTGCTTGCAATTCATAATCAAGTACTTGGCTGAATGTCTACTGTTTATTGAAGTGGATCTTAATGCAAACACAACTTCCCTCTTCATTGACAACTTTACCTGCAAAACTCACTTTACACGCTCTAAACTCAACCAGGTGGGGACAGAAGAAGTGGTTGTTGGCCATCCTCTAAATCAGTGATTTACATGATAGATTGTTCATTTGCTTATCTCTCTTTGTTCATTTACTTAAAAAATGTTTTCTATTGCAGTAAAATACACACATACATAACATTTACCATCTTAACCATTTTTAAGTGTGCAACTGAGAGGCGTTAAACACATCCCTCATGCTGGGCAGCCAACACCAACATCCATGCACAGAACTCTTTTCATCTTGCAAAAGTGAAACTACGTACCCATTGAACAATACCTCCTCCCATCCCCAATATCCCCCTAGCCCCTGGCAACCACAATTCTACTTTCTGTCTCTATGACTGCAACTATTCTAAGCACTTCATGTAAGTGGAATCATGCAGTTTTTTTTTCTTTTTGTAACTGACATTTAATGTAGAAAATGCCCTCAAGTTTCATCCATATTGTAACATACAAAGGAAACAGAATTTCCTTCCTTTTTAAGGCTGAATAATATTCCATTATATGTATATACCACATTTGCTTATCCATTCTTCTGTTGATGGACATTTGGGTTGCTTCCACATTGTTGCTATTATGAATAACACTGCTATGAACTTGAATGTGTGTTTATCTACTTTTTAGCTCAACAAAAGCCCATAGTAACAATTCATTTGGAGGCATGAACACCATAAGAGGATTTGTAAAAGCAAAAGGATTCATGAACTATTTCAGCCATGAGCAAATATCCCTCAAGCCATCTGTTTAAGCCAGTTCTAAACTCCATTGCATTATGTGGAAAATAAAGTAGAATCTCCATTTTACTTGGTTAAAAGTCACTCAAGGGTTCTACACACTGCTCAACTATTTTAGGATCATAGAAATGTTTACTAGAAGGGATATATATAAGACCATTTAGTGATTTCCATTCTTCGTTGTCCATCAGAAGGCTCTTGATAAAAATACTGATGCATAGATCCCATGCCCAGAGATTCTGATTTAACTGGCCAGTAGATAGGCATCAGTAGTTTTCAAAGTTTTTCAAGTAACTAATGTGTAGCCAGAGTTGACAATCACTGATACAGCTTAACCCTCCTCCTCACTCCCATTTAGAGAGAGAAAGGGGAACGATTTGCTGAAAGTAATACAGAAGTTGGCGGAATGATGCAAACAGGAATTTTAATGTCCTAAATCTAGTGCTCTAAACCTCTTGAAACTTCTTTATACAGTACTCTGCCTTCAACTCTTATCTTTACAAAGTGAGAACACATAAAGTACTATCAAGTGGATGATTTTTATTCAACCAAGAAAGATTTAAATTGAGATTAAAGCCAAATTGGCAAGTTTATTTTAGTTTTCATTTCAGTATCTGAATGGTGATGAATCCAAAAGATGAAAGGATTCTGCCTATTACCAGAAATCTGCCAAAGGAAGACAAAGTCTGTGTGGGCTTTGAGGTACTATGCACTCCTAAAAAAGGTTAATCAGAGACAAAGTTTAAAGCAGAGGAGAAAACAGAAATGAAATAACAGGAGAGATTCTAAAGATGATTATATTCTGTTGTAAAAGTCAAGTAATGGAAATCTAAGAGGACATACAAATGGCCAAGAAACATTTGAAAAGAGCCTCAGTATTACCAGTGGTCAGGAAGCTGAAAATTAAACTACAGCTTGATTTATCAGATCAGGAAATGTGAAAAATGGATAACATGCAGGGCTGGCAAAGATATGGGGAAAAGGGAACCCAAGGCATATTTGGGACATGTGTTGCTTCCAAACAGCCTCTGAGGAGGAATGTACAAAAGGTCCTGGCAAGGAAGTCGTTGGGAAAGAGCCACTGTTCTTCATTAACTCCATTGTTTTGCCTTCCACTCAGATCCTCGACAAAGAGAATACCAAGGACGGAGTTCTTTGCTTTGGACCAGTCTTCTGTTGCTTTTTCCACGCTTCAGACACAGGAGACTTAAACTCCTATTTCCAACTTAAGTGAGTTTGAATCCATTTTGTTGATGAGTCCACATTAATACAGAAAGTAAGCTTTTCATGTAAAAGTTTCTTAGGTTGACTGGGCTGCCGGGGCGTATTTTCCAATGAACCCACTGAAGCTCTGATTTTCTTTCTCAATCTCCTTGAAGCAAACTTTCTGTACACGAAGTACCTAATTCTTGTCCTAGATCTTTGCTGAGTGTGTACGGATCACTGCCTGAGAAGCTCAGCGGTGTTTGGGCTACTCCTCCTCCCACGTGCTCTTGCATGCACCCAGAGCCCACTCCAGCAATGGATCTGAGTCTTCTCACCTGCAGAAAGCAATGCTCACCCGCTCCCCACCCTGGGCTCCTCCTCACCAGGCTGCAAAGCCTCAGGTTCTATACTCCTGGGTGGTAACCTTTCCACCAGCTCAGCTGCAGGCTGTGCATCTCACACTATTTCTTGAGTACCTGCTGGTACCAGGCTAGCACTTCATTCTCTCATGTTTGCATTTTAACCTTCAACAATCCAGTAAGGTAATTATTATTTTTATTCCTATTTACATATGAGAAAGATGAGGTTTAGAGAGTTCAAATGTCTTTCGTGAGGACATGTAGTTTATAACTGGCAGAACAGTGTCACCTGAAGTAAATGAGTTTTGAGGAGTGAAAACATATTCTTCCACCAGTCTCCTCTTATAGGAGACACTGTGTGTAAACACATCTCCGAGGTACCAGGTAATGTGTGGCATGCTGACCCCAGGCTGGTGGCTCCAGTGACTAAGCCGAGATCCCTGGCCTTCACTGGAGGGAGAGGCCACTGCTGTCGCTGCTGCCCCCTGCTGGAACCTGATCTCTCTGCCAAGCTGAATTCAGGGGCCATGCCATGCCTGTCTCTGATGCTCTAACTGGATCCATTGCACCCTCTCTTTCTTCTGGGAAAATGGTCAGAACCTCAGGGAGTTTGCCCCAAGTATATCTTCTGAAATTGGGACCCTAAAGGCTGCCAGCTATCAGTTCCCCCTGTATCCCTCTGGGAAGAAGAGAGAACAACCTCCTTCCTCCTAGAGCAGAATATTTGCAATCTTGTCCCACAGACTGTCCCAGAAAAGCAGGCAATGTTCCATGGAGATGAGCAAGACTCGGACTCCACGAAGATCCCCAGCCTCCAGAGAGACGGTCGGGGGTGGAAAGGGATAGTTAGGAAGTTTGGGACGGACATGTACACACTGCTATATGTAAAATGGATAACAAAGATCTACTGTACAGTATATGGAGCTCTGCTCAATGTTACATGGCAGCCTGGATGGGAGGGGAATTTGAGGGGGAATGGATACATGTATATGAATGGCTGAGTCCCTTTGTTGTTCACAGGAAGCTAGCACAACATTGTTTGTTAATTGGCTATATCCCAATACAAAATAAAAAGTTAACAAAAGATTCCCAGCCTTTTCATATGATGCAATATGGTAATTCCTTTGACACCTGGCATGGGCATTCACCAATCAGAACTTCCGGAATCTCTCATGACTATGAGTCAACAATGAAGACTTGATCATCAAGACTGATGGCGTCCCCTTCCTCCCACTGACCTCAGACAAAGAATTTGTGTACTTTGTGTAAGTAATTTTGCTTTAAGGAGATTAAGGATGGGAACCAGAATTTCAATGGATTCACTGGATGATATTCCCAGGCAGCCCAGCCACCTTAAGACAGTTTTACAGCATGAAGTGCTTGCTTTCTATTAATGTGGACTCATCATTAGCAAGTAGCAGAATAAATGGGCTCAAATTCACTTAAGCTGGAAATGGGAATTTACAGTCTGTATCTGAACCATGGAAAAATCCATGAAGATTGATCCACAGCCATGAACCCTCATTGGGATTCTTTTGTCTTTGCCTCTCTCTGCAGGCTGGCTTCACTCTGTCCAAGTTCAGAGGTGCCAGGGGAGAACTTGAGGAGAGAAGAGGAATGAGCATAGAAAACAGCATCTCAAACTCACATCCCCTCCCCTCTAAGACCAGGAAGGAGAAAGTCTTCCCAGCAGCAAATCCTGGAGAAGGATTCAAATTGTCCTCTTTTGGATCACATCACCATTTCTGAGAGCTTCACTGGGCTTTGTTACCATAAGAAATAGAAAGAAGTGCTGGGCAGAAAATGAAAAATGGCCATTACAGTAAAATGAAAATGTGTTTGTAAGATTTACATTTGTTTTGGTTTTCATCCATTTTAGTTTTTTAAAAAATAGTTTAAATAGATCCCCAAAGAGAGAATCCTAACTAATAAAATTGTAACCATTGGAAATTAGATCTTAACTTACCCATATTTTTTTCCCCTTCATCCCATTTGTCACCATTTTTAAGCTTATTATATGATCATTTGATAATTGCTTGTCTGCCCAACCGGAATGTAAACTTCATGAAGGAAGGGATATTTTTTTATTCACCGTGATTTCCATAGCACTTAGAACATTCCTGGCATACAGCTGGCATCCAACACATCCCGTGAAGGGCTGAATAAAGAATCAACTCAACCTTTTCTAGGCTCAATGTAAGTCACCACCAGATGATTCCAAAGTTAGCTGAAGAATCATAGGTTAAGAAACACTGACAGAAAGAAAGAGAAAGTGAGATGAATACCTGGAATTAGAAGATCCAACTAGCCGCACCATTTATGGTCTGACAGGAAACTCCCAGAACAGAAACATGATAATACCAAAAAACAATGATCTGATGAGCTAAACATTAAAAATTTAAGATGGTCATAAAAGAAAAAGGTTCAAAATTCTAGCTAATTCTGAAAAATTTAAAGTTTACAGAAAAAGCTAATATTTATAATATGTGAAAAACCAAATTTGGCTTAAGAAACCTACCACCTATCATTATATTTCTATGTGGTCCAATTTTTGGATGGAAATACCATTAAGCCAGACATCCAGAGAGATCTCATTACTGGCCTGTGTTTTATGGAGCAAAACACTCATGAAAACACACCACTTGGGTACTTCAGTGGGTTGTGCTAAAAATTATAGCCTTTCAAAGACTCTTGAATACACATGCTCTTGCCCTATGTACACTTTAGTAAAGCACTTTAATAAAATACAACTGTTTGAGTTTCTGTTAATTAAGCTGATAGCTTCTGGTGACCAGAACTTCCTGTGCCTGAGGCCAGGCCAGGCCACTGGCTCCTCATTGTGGCTGTCAACATGCAGAGAGAAGCATGTTAAGAAAGGTGGAGAATGGGGAATTTTGAGACTGATGGGTACCCTGTAGGAAACCAAGATTTCTGTGAGGTCAGAGGAGGGGCCCAATGATATTGTGATTTATAATGGGAAATACATATTTGGCCTTTTTCCCCATCCCTGACACAGGGCTCCTAAAACCCTTGTAAATTCACCAGTGACAGGCACACTAGGGGCATCTTTCTTTCTAATGGGGTGACTCTGGGTGGCTCCTGAATGGAGACTGGTCACCAGAAAGAGCAAGCCATGAGTAGACGCTTTGAATTTTCAGCCCACTCCACCACTTCTCTAGAGAGGGAAGCAGGGCTGGAAGTGGAGTTCATCATTGATCTTGTTATGTGGGCTCCACAATATAAAAGCCTACTCAGAAAAATAGTAGGGGGCTTGAAGAGTTTCCAGATGCGTGAGCATTTAGAGATGAGGGGAGAGTGGCAGCCTTGGAGAAGGCAAGCAAAGTCTGCAGTCTTTCTCCATAGCTTGCGCTAAGCATTTCTTCCATTGGGCTTTTCCTGAGTTATATCCTTTTATAATAAACTGATGATCTAGTAATTAAAAGGTCTCTGAGTTCTGTAAGCCACTTTAGCAAATTAATTGAATCCAAGGAGAGGGTAGTTGGAATCTCAATCTACAGCCAATGCATCAGAAGCCCAGCTGACAAACTGGACCTGTGACTGTCATCTGGAGAAGATGAGTGGTAGGTGGGGGGTGGCAGTCTTGTAGGACTGAGCCCTTAGCTGTGGGGTCTGATGCTATCTCCAGGGAAACAGTGTCAGAACTGAGTTGAGTTGTAGGACCTCTAGATGGTGACTGAGAATTGACTGGTGGTATGGGCTTCCCAGGTGGCACTCGTGGTAAAGAACCTGCCTGCCAGTGCAGGAGACTTAAGAGATGTGGGTTCGCTCCCTGGGTCAGGAAGATCCCCTGGAGGAGGGCATGGCACCCATTCCAGTATTCTTGCCTGGAGAATCCCGTGGATAGAGGAGCCTAGCTAGTTACAGTCCATAGGGTTGGAAAGGGTTGGACATGACTGAAGCAACTTAGCACATACACACACACACACACATGGGAAACCCCATCCCACGTTGGAATTGGTACTAGAATCATCTTAGGCCCCCATCTGCCTCCCGCTGGAGACTCATATGGAGGGGAGGGGGCAGTGATTGACGCATGTGACTCCCTGGCAGGAAGCTCCATGCTTCCCTCCAAGGAACTGGGATGACAATCAGTGTGGACACAGGTGAGCTCAGGGCCAGCATTTTGCTGATGCTTCGTCACCTTGCCTGACCTCAAACACCAGTCGAGAGGGCTGGCCAGGACAGTTTCCCATACGAATCCACTTTCCATCCCACTATGTAACACCTCCACAAGTCAAGGTATGTTCAACACAAGGATTACTGCACAATGAAAGACTTAATTCCATGAACAGGAGAAAAAGTATGCAGTAAGGAGAAATGTGAGGAATTTATCTGGTAAAAGAGTTCTTGACTTTAGAAAGAGAAAATGGAAAGCACCAACTCTTCCGCGTCAGCAATAAAATGGTCTTTGGGGATTCAGGCAGCAAAGCAGAAAGAGCTCAGACCACGTGGCAGAGCAGTTACCTTGAGTGATGGGTCTGGTGCACACAGCTCAGTGGCTTTCCTGGTGGGCTGCCCTCTGGTTCCGTCTCCCTGTCTGTAAAAGAATGAAAGGTTATCTAAGTTCTCATCCAGGTTTAATTTTCTAACTTTCATATAAGTTTTTCAGTTAAAAATGATAACACTTGTGAACTGTTATCATTGCCAGGATGTTTTTCTACTCTTTAAGGGACGATATAGGGAGTATTTTCCAACATTGATGAGGGAATGAAATGACTACGAGACTGTACTTGTCTCATTAAGGCAACAAGTCATAGCGTGTTCTTTCAAAAGACACCTGTACTTTGTCACTCTTTCAATCACTCGTGCTCTACTCACTTTCCCCTTGTGACCTTTATTCCTCCGGAAGCAGTTTTAGAGCTGCTTCTTATGAGAACTTTTTTTAAAGGAGAAAAATATTCTTCTTACACAAATCCAAACAGGATTTACTAAATGATAAATTTGACTAAAGCTTTGACAAAATTGGGCTTCCTTCGTGGCTTCGTGATAAAAGAATCTGCCAGGCAGTGCAGGAGACAGGGTTAGATCCTTGGGTGGGGAAGATCCCCTGGACAGTGGCAACCCACTCCAGTATTCTTGCCTGGGCAATCCCATGGACAGAGGAGACTGGTGGGCTGTAGCCTATGGGGTTGCTAAAAAGTCAGACATGACTTAGCGACTAAAACAACAATAACAATTGACAAAATCAGTTTTTAAATTCAGTGCTGAGCAGTGGTCTCCATCACCTTTGCATATAATCATATTAGCAACCCAGTGTATCTTATTTTCTTTTTCATTCCCAGATCATAGTTGAACTGTTATCATTGCCAGGATGTTTTTCTACTCTTTAAGGGACGATATAGGGAGTATTTTCCAACATTGATGAGGGAATGAAATGACTACGAGACTGTACTTGTCTCATTAAGGCGACAAGTCATAGCGTGTTCTTTCAAAAGACACCTGTACTTTGTCACTCTTTCAATCACTCGTGCTCTACTCACTTTCCCCTTGTGACCTTTATTCCTCCGGAAGCAGTTTTAGAGCTGCTTCTTATGAGAACTTTTTTTAAAGGAGAAAAATATTCTTCTTACACAAATCCAAACAGGATTTACTAAATGATAAATTTGACTAACGCTTTGACAAAATTGGTCTTCCTTCGTGGCTTCGTGATAAAAGAATCTGCCAGGCAGTGCAGGAGACAGGGTTAGATCCTTGGGTGGGGAAGATCCCCTGGACAGTGGCAACCCACTCCAGTATTCTTGCCTGGGCAATCCCATGGACAGAGGAGACTGGTGGGCTGTAGCCTATGGGGTTGCTAAAAAGTCAGACATGACTTAGCGACTAAAACAACAATAACAATTGACAAAATCAGTTTTTAAATTCAGTGCTGAGCAGTGGTCTCCATCACCTTTGCATATAATCATATTAGCAACCCAGTGTATCTTATTTTCTTTTTCATTCCCAGATCATAGTGACCCCAGACCCCAGGCTCCTCCCACCAAGCTTAGCTCCTCCCATTACACATGCACATCACAACATACTTTGCTTCCATACTCCAATGTCTTTATCCTGACTACAGGATAAAGTCTAAAGATTGGACTCAACCCCAGAATCCATTTGCACTGGTTCATGTCTGTCTGAGCACCCCAGCTACGATTAATCTCTTACACAGTCCGTGGTCCTGTCTCTGGGAAGATTCCCAATTCCAGGCACACCCCAGGCCCTTCCCACTTTGCTCATTCTCTTTACTGACTTGGACCATCTTCCCTCCTTTTTTCTGGCATTTGAATCCTATCAGTTTTTCAAAACCCAGTGGAGAGCCCCTTTTCTCTACGGAGCTTTCCCAGAACTCTGCATCTTGGAGGGCATTGTCCTTACCTTGTATAGTCCACTGCCTGGCACAGCAAGAGAAGTTACCTCGGTAGTCTCAAAAGTAATTCCTCACAGGGCTGCGATCTCCTTAGTAGGGCTGAGTGCCCTTCTAGTCAGCACTTAAAAGCTTACAGGCCCCCTAAAGCATGGTCAGGTGAGATAGGACTCAAAGTACAAAGGTACCCTGACTAGTCTCAACAGAACAGGACTAGGAGGCCCAAGGGTGAGCCAACTTCCAGTGAGATGAAGAACCCCGAGAAGGCCAGAGGCAGCTTCTCTTACCAGGTGCAGCCTTCTGAGTCCTGAATACAGTGTCCGTCTATTTTTTACCACCAGCTCCTTCCCCCTCTCTCCTAATCTTTTGGAGTGATTAGAAGGGGATTGGCAAAAGTTGAATTCCCTAAGACCTGGGTTTTTTCTCCTGAGCCTAAGGCAATTCAACCTAATTCTTGCCCCAGTGGGTCAAAGTGACC